AAGAAAGTATTTCAAGCAAGTAGAGAGAAACTATTCAAATATTGTGGAGCCACCATTAGGATAACACAAAATTTAGTGTCTTCCTCATTCAAGGAGCAGAGTACTTGGAATATGTTGTTCCTGAAGGCAAAGGAGCTAGTATTATGAACCAAGGAAAATCTACCCAGTAAAACTGACTAGAATTTTTCAGGAGAAAAAATGGATAGTTAATGAAATAGAAGACTTTCAAGCACTCCTGTTTAAAAGATCAGAGCTGAATAGAAAATCTGACATTCAAACACAAGACTCAAGAGAAGCATAAAAAGGTGAACATGAAAGAGTATCATAAGGGACCCAAAAAGTTAAGCTGTTTACATTGCTATATGGGAAGATGATTCATATCACTCTTAAGAACGTTACCATCAGTAGTTAAAAGTTGCACGGACAGAGGACATGGGGGTGAGTTGATTATGTTGTGATAGTCTCCAAAAAATTAATGGTTGAGAAAGAGAGATGCACCGGGAGAAGGGGGAAGGGAGAGGTAGAATGGGGAAAATTTTCTCACATAACTGAGGAATTTAAGGAAGAGTTGTTACAGTGGAGTGAGAAATGGGAGGTAGAAGACAGTGCTTGAACTTTACTCTCATCAGAAATAATTCAAAGAGAGAAGAATAAATATACACAGTAAGTTGTTTATAGAAACAAATCTCATCCAAAAGGGAAATAGGAGGGGAAGGGGATAAAAGAAAAAAAGGGTGTGTGTACATGTATGCATGTGTGTGTGTGTGTGTGTGTGTGTGAGAGAGAGAGAGAGAGAGAGGGAGAGAGAGAGGGAGAGAGAGAGAGAGAGAGAGAGAGAGAGAGAGAGAGAGAGAGAGAGAAGAGAGAGAGAGAGAGAGAAGACAGATTAAGGGAGGCTGTGGTTGGAAGCAAAGTAAACTTTTGAGGAGGGATGGGATAAAAAGAGAGAGGAAGAAAAAAGAGAAAATGGGATGGAGGGAAATACACAGCTATCATGAATGTGAAAGGAATGAGCTCACCCATAAAACAGAAGCAGATACCAGAATGGATTAGAAACAAGAATCCAACAATATGTTGTTAAAAGAAACACATTTGAAACAGAAAGAAACACAGAGAATTAAAATAAAGGGCTGGAGCAGATTCTAATACACTGCAGCTGAAGAAAAAAGACCAGGGGTAGCAATCATGAACTCAGACAAAGCAAAAGTAAAAAAAAAAAGACTAATTAAAAGAGATAATCAGGGAAACTACATTTTGCTAACAGGTACCTTTGACAATGAACGCGGAATTTTTTTATGCAAGTTTCTTTGATAAAGGCCTCATTTCTCAAATATACAGAGAACTGAATCAAATTGTGGAAAGATAAGAGCCATTCCCCAATTAATAAATGATCAGTGGATATGAACAGGGAGTTTTCAGAAGAAGAAATCACAGCTCTCAATAGTTACATAAAAATGCTCTAAATCACTACTGATTGTTGTTGCTCAGTCGTTTCAGTGATGTCCAACTCATCAGGACACATTTGAGGTTTTCTTGGCAAAGATACTGGAATGTTTTTCCATTTCCTTCTCCAGGGTACTCATGAGGAAACTGAGGCATATGGGGACACAGCTAGTTAGTGTCTGAGTCTAGATTTGAACTCAGGTCTTCCTGACTCCGGGCCCAGCACTCTATCAACTGTACTACTTTTTTTTGCCCCCTATTGAATAGAGAAATGCAAATTAAAATAACTCTGTGGTACCAACTCACACCTATGAGAAATGTCACATGCTGGGGGGAATGAGAGAAAATAGATACACTAATGAACTATTGGTGGAGTCATGAACTGGTCTAGCCATTCTGCAGAACAGTTTGGAACTATTTCCAAAGTGCTATAAAATTGTGCATGCCCTTGACTCAGCAAAACCACTAGTAGGTCTACATCCCAAAGAGAACAAAGGAAAAAGAAAAGGACCTATATGTAGAAAAATACAGCAGCTCTTTTTTTTTTTTTTGGTGTCAAAAACTTGGAATTTGAGTGGAAGCTCATCAATTGGGGAACGTTTGAACAAGTTGTGACATATGATTGTGATATAGTACCATTATGCTATAAGAAATGACAAGGGAAGGGTGGATTAAAAAACATGGCAAGACTGATGTGAAATGATGCAGAGTGTAGTGAGAAGAACTGAGAGATCATTATGCACAGTAACCACAATGTTGTAATGGTGACCAGCTGTGAAAAGTTGGCAACTCTGATCAATATAATTATCCAAAACAATTACAAAAAACTCATGAGGAAGAAATGCTCCCTATCTCCAGAGAGAGAAATGAGGAACTCTGAGTGCAAACTGAAGGCATCATTTTTTTCACTTTATTTTTCTTCCTTTTCTTTTTTTTTTTTTGCGATATGGCTAATATGGAAATGTGTTTTGCATGATTTCACATATATAATTGATAACATATTGTTTGCTTTTTCAGTGGGTGGGGAAGGTGGTGGGAGAAAGGGAGAGAATTTGGAACTCAAAATTTAAAAAGAAAATAATGCTAAAATATATGAATAAATTTTTGAAAAATTTAAAAATATGAGGCAATCTTCTCAGCTGAGAGGGTAGAAGGAGGGAAACCATGGAAGGTTTGAGGAGGGATGAAAAGATTTGGAAGAGCTGTTGCAGAGTGTGAGATAGTTGGTAAGGGAGGTATAGTAGGATTGCTTAATAGCAATGAGGGCTTAGTTGAGGTTGGGTAACATAAATGTGCAGTGGACCCAGTCAGAACAGTTGCATGATTTTCTCCATTTTCATTCAGCAGCAGATGTACAGGAGCAAAGATGGCAAATAAGGGGAATGATCCAAGGTTGAGGCTTAACTGAGTATAATCAGAAATAGAGTAAGAGGGCTATGGTTTCAAGAAAGGTGGGTGGTGTGGAGTGGAACTGGTTCGCCAAGGGGTCAAAATGGGTAGGAAATTAGAGTGGCTAGTGCAGGAGAGATGGCCTGGAAAGCACTTGGAGGGCGAAGGGATTGAAGGCCATGGTGTGGACTGAGAGTAGGGTTTTGTAAAGGAAGAGAGGGAGAAAGAGGTGAAATGTCAACAGTTTATGGTCAGATAAGGGGATTTTAGATTTCTTGAACATGCAGATGGTACATATGTGGGTGACGGCAAGATGAAGAGTATGACCATCTTTGTATGTGTCTGAGGTTTCAAATGTCAATCAGACTGTGGCTTAGCAGCCACATCTGATAGTTGTTATTTTCAGGATCCAAGGATGGAGACCATCTGGACAGGCACAACCCAAGAGCCACTGATTCCAGTCCACATAATCCAGTTTATGAAAGTTTCAAGCATATGTGGCCATAATTACTCCATATGACTTTTTAAAAACTGATCCTTGGGGTAGGTGGTACAGTGGGTACAGTACTAGTCTTACACTCAGGACGACCCGAGTTCAAATTTGGCCTCAGACACTTGCTAGCTGTATGACCCTGGGCAAGTTACTTGGTCCTGATTGCCTAAAAAAAGCCATGATCCTTGATACCCAGGGCCAAGCCTATCTCAAGGCAGGAGAGGATTCAAGTTCAGATCCTTACTTTCAGTATCAGTAAGAAGAATTTTTTCCTGGATGCTTGAACCATGGATAAATTTCCTAAAAAAAATCTAGAAGCGGAATGGAAATTCTTTCACTAGGGCTTAAGAGAAAGGCCCATCCTGGCCCCAAACTCCACCTTGTTCCCTTTCCCTCCTTCTCTGAACCCTGATGAAAATCTGTTTCTCACACCTACCTCAGACGGTTTTGAGAATAGTGTTTCTGTCAGCCAAAGCGCTGCCACATACCATTGTAGAGAAGAAGAGGAGGAGAATATCATAGAAAGGAATTAAAAACTGGATTCTCATTTGGCACTTTGTATCTCTAAGTACCAAAGCAACACTCCTCTGTCCATTTGCCCTGCCTCTGCCCCTTCAGATTAGTAGAAAGTACAGATACCCAAGTCAACAGTAGGTACATGGGAGTAAAGAGAATTTCCCATCTGGGTACCAAATTACGTGAAGAGTTAACAAGGTTTCATCCTGGGGTTCACATCAAGAAATATTCTCACACAGTTCTACAGAGGTTTTTCAAGCTGTTCCCATTCTCTCATGGAAACCCAGTTGAGGAACCTCTGGGAACCAGGATTCTACTTGGATGCCAAAGGTGTGAGAGTAACACGTGAAGGAGGGACAACCCCTTGGCTCCTGTTGTTCTGCCTCTTGTTGGAGGATAGATTCAGTGCTTATCATGCAGGTAGGAGAAATCCCTTTCAGGTTCGCACTGAATGAGCTTCCCTCCCTCAAACTTGCTCCCACAATGAGTGGTGGAGACATAAACATCAGGTGTTGAGTAGCCAGCCCAAACAGGAGTGAATTCAAACCAGGCATCTGGAAAGATAACAAAACTGTGGCTTTGGTGGGCAGGTTTTACATCAGGGGAGGAATCACAACAGGACAATATTCATACCCAGAAAAATTCACACCAGGGTCTGGGGTTTCCACAAGAATAAACTCACACCACCCTGGAGCTCTATATCCAACTATATTCACACTAAGACATTCCCACTTCATGATCCCTGTCACTGACTTTCCCCAGAGAGATCTACTCACTATATGTCTCTTCCCAGTGACTAGCTGGCACTAACTAGTTGAGCCTAATCAGGAAATGAGACTGGATCAATCTCAGTGAGCAAAAATCTGATTGGTCAGTCAGTCATTCACACTGAATGAAGTGAAATGACCTTATACAGAATGTACGTTCAGATTATTGAGGAAACTGAATAAGCACTTTACAATCCTCTAAACTGCTTGGTCACATCTTGCGGGTGATTTATAATTAGTAAGCCAGCCTAGAACACAGTTGATTCCAGGGTCTGGTAACTTAGGGTAGAAGCTTTCCAGCTCAAGGTCAAATGTGCTAACGTTTGTGAAGTGCCAGCATAGTACCTGGCACATGGTAGCTCAATAAGTGCTTGCTTTCTTCCGTTCCCCAGGCCTCTAGGAAGAAATCGCTGAGAAGACGGGAAGAGGAAAGCCCGTGGTCTCCCCACCCCCCCACCTTGATGAGAGCAAGCCCTTCAGAAAGACAGATAAGTTAAACTTTTTCACTGATGTTCTACCAGTGTCCCCAGAACAGTGGCAGCTGGTTATGATGTCTGTATTGAGAGTCAAGGAATTACTGGATAGTGGAGATAGACAAGAGAAGATGAGGAAAGACAGACTCAAGATTCTGCAAGGAAGCCAACAGAAAATCTGCACTATAACCAAAGGGAACAGCTTGAAGACTCCAGCAATCGAACTTCCTAGATCAGGAGTTGTGAATTTACCCGTTTGCCACAATCATTCCCTGAGCTTGAGTCCACTTTCCCCCTGGATTATGTAGGTATTGGTGGAAAAGTGTGTCAGAGACTACTGGAAGGAAATTTTTGTACCAATTGTTTTTACTAAACCACCTTAGTAAAGAGCCCTTTCTAAAAGCTAATTAGATCTGGCTAAGTCATTTATTTTCACTGATCAACAACAGGAGAAGCATCCTGATGGGATCCCATGAACAACAGTACTAGAAAAGATACCTCTCAGGACTAGTCCAAAAGCCTTGAGGATAGAAGTAGCAGCTGAGCCCCAGGGACCCATCTTGTTAGTTACAATAGGGTTGGGAGAGAAAGGCCCTAGAGAATACACCATAGATTGCTTGATTTGGCTAACAGTAAAAAGAGAGTAACTCTGATTACCACAAGGAACCCCCACAATTCTAGAAGGCTTATAATGGAACATGCTATCCACCTCCAAAAAGAGAACTGGGGGACTTAGAGAGAAGACTGAAGTATATATTTTCTCTTTCTTTTCCTTTTTATTGGGGGGTGGTGTGGAGTGGGGTGGGAAGGGACTTGGCTAATGCAAAAATTTGTTTCACATGATTTCTTATTTATAACAGGTTTTCTTTCTTTCTTTTTGCCTTCTCAGTGGGTGAGTGAGAAAATTGGAATGGAAAACCAAATTAAATTCAATTTTTTAAAAAAGAGAGATGAAACTTTCTGTGAACATGGTTAATGCAAGAATTTGTTTTGTATGACTATACTTACTTGTAATGGGTTTTGGTTTTCTTGTTTTCTCAATGGCTGGGAAAAGGAAGAGGATTCAAAACTGAAAATAAAACAAAATTGAGTTTTTAAAAAAGTAAATACTTTTGCTAAAGTCTAATTGACACTATTGTCTGATTGTGGAAAACATGCTGGTGGGAAATCACAAGCAGCAGTAATAAAAACACAGACCCTCACTGTTACCCCTAGAACCTTCAAAAGAATTATATCTAGCCACTTTCTAGACCAGCTTTCAGATACCAGTGAAAGTTGTTGAAAAAGTCACAGAAGGGTGCTACATAGACATTTGCTAGAGCTCTCTCTTTCTGTCAAAAGCAGGACAGCCTAATAGCTTCAGAATAGAGATGATAACATCGGTAAAGAAATGATAACTGAATCTATGGGAGCTAATGAGAAAGAAGAGGGCCCACATCAGAGCCTTTGTGTATATCACATTTAGAGGGTGTGACATGGATGCAGATCTAGCAAAGGAGACTGGGAAAAAGTGGCAGACAAATAGGAGAACTGAGAGAGAACAGTATCACAAAAACCCAGAGAGAAAAAGTTTCCAGGAGAAGATTGTGATCGACAATGTCAAAAGTTGTAGAGGTGTCAAGAGGTATGAGTATCAATACAAGGCATCACATTTAACAAATTTGAGATTTAATAAATCATTGGTAACTTTGAAGAGAATAGTTTCAGTTGAATGATGAGATCAGAAGCCCAACTGCAGGGAATTTAGAAGAGATTTAGTAATTGAAATTATCCATTTTATACCTAACTTTGCTTTCAGTCTCTTCTTTATTCATAAATTGTTTGCCTATCCATAAGTCTGATGGTTTATTGCTGTCCTTCATTCTCGAAGAGGCTCAAAATGACTTTACTATGCTAGAATCAAGTTGCAGTGTGGCCAGCTGTGGCTGAGCAGAACAGTTTGAGCTCAGAATGCTCTACCACAGGTTGGGCACAAATAGTCTGTGTTAACATTTGGGGTGGATTCTCTAAATGTGCACATCTCACATTTCTTTTAAGCTGCTTCAATTGCACTTCACTCATAGAGCACAGCACCTTCTCTGATGTGGGCGTGCTGTGCTGAGGGGTCCTGTGCCAGTGTCTCTCATGTCACACAATCAATACCAAAGTTCTTAAGAGAGACTTTGAGAGTGTCCTTGTATTACTTCTTTTGACTACCCTGTGAGCACTTGCCCCATGTGAGTTCTCCATAAAATAGTCTTTTGGGCAAGCATACATTTTGTATTCGAACAGTGTGGTTGGCCTATCAGAGTTGTGTTCCCTGCAGTAGAGTTTGAATGCTTGGTAGTTCAGCTTGAGAAAGGACTTCAGTGTCTGGTGTCTTACCCTGGCAGATGATCTTCAGACTCTTCCTAAGACAGTTCAGATAGAAGTCATTCAGTTTCCCAGCATGGTGCTGGTATCTTGTTCAGGTTTCACAGGCATACAACAATGAGGCCAACACAGTGACTCTGTAGACCTTCAGTCTGGTAGTCAGTCTAATATCTCTTGTCTCCCGTACTTTCCTTTGGAGACTCCCAAATATTGAGCTAGCTCTGGCAATGTGTGCAGCAACCTCATTATCAATGTGTACATCCAGTGTAGACATTGTATACACTCCCAAGGTAAGTGAACTTGTCCGCAACATTCAGAACTTCTTCATTTGCTGCAGCCAATGGTTCCACGTATGGATGGTGTGGTGGTGACTGATAGAGCACCTTGTTGTCTTGATGTTAATTGTTAGACCGACATTAGCACAAGCAGCCAAGAATCCTGCATCTCTCTAAGCTTCGCTGGTACTTTACTTTTGTTGGAATTAAATGCTGCCTTCTTAGAGATGGATCAACTATCCACCTGGTAAGCCCTGTGGAGTTCTCATTTTTCATTTAGCAGCTTCTGGGTTTCCCCATCATTTTTGTCGAACTAATCTTGATGTTTGTGAGTGTTCTGACCCAGATGGGCAAATGCAGTGCTGTACACCAAATCTCTGGAAGCTGCCCACCAGAAAAGGTTCTGCTCCACTGTTACCAACTGCGTGTTGGCTCAACTTTCCCTCCAAGTTAGCGACAAACTGCTCCTGCTCAGAGAAGAGCTGTAATCTGTTGACATTGATTCTTCTGGCAGTCGTTTTGCCTTGGGGCCTCCACTTTTGTGGAATGTGAATATTTAGCTTGGAGAGGAAAAGTCTATGATCAGTCCAGCACTCTGTGCCACACATTGCCTTCATCACTCTCACATCCTGTCTGTCTCTTCTCCTTACAGTGACATAGTATATTAAATGCCAATGTTTCCTTTGAGGGTGCATCCATGAAGTTTTATTGCATTTAGGTAAATGGAAGACAATGTTGGTGATGGGAAGGTCATGAGATGCACAAGTCTTCAGTAGCAAGTGACCATTGCTTTTGCTGTTTCCAACTCCATTCCTCCCTAGGACGCCCTGCCAAGTCTCTAGTCTGACCCTACTCTAACGTTAAAATCACCGGAGCATTAGGGTGTCCAGGTGTCTTCATAAAACTTTTCTTTGACCTCATCAGGGTTCATCATGGTGGGAGCATAGGCACTGATGACAGTGGCATGACATTTTCTGGCAAGTGGCAATTGCATTCTCATGAGCCTGCTGTCCACTCTTTTTGGGAGACATACAAGCTTGTTGACTAGATTAGTTTTGGTTGCAAAACCTGCACCAGCTTGATTGCACTCCACTTCACTGTAGCCACTCCAGAAAAATGTGCATGCACCTCCAGCTGCAGTAAGCTGGCCTTCATTTCCCAGCCTTATTACACTTATGGATGCTATTTGAATGTGATACCTGCTGAGTTCTCTCGTAACAACAACAGCTGTTCATCTTTCAGGTCTACTAGATTTTGTGTCTGATAAGTAGTACCTTCCATGTTCTTCTAATTTTCTTGTAACATCTCTATATCTAGGTCATGTATCCATTTGACCTTATCTTGCTAAATGGTGTAAGATATTGGTCTATGACCAGTTTAGGCCATACTGCTTTTCAGTTTTCCCAATAAATAATTTTTACTAAATAATGAATTCTTATCCCAAAATTTTAAGTCTTTACACTTGTCAAATATAAGGTTATTGTATTTATGTGCTGCTATAAGTTGTATATCTACTCTGTTCCACTGATCTACCTTTATATTTCTGAGCCAGCAACAGATAGTTTTGATAATTACTACCTTATAATATAGTTTAAGATCTGGTACTGCTAAACCTCCTTCCTTTCCATTTTAAAAACTAGTTCCTTTGGTATTCTTGACTTTTTCTTCTTCCAAATGAATTTTGTTATTATGTTTTCTATTTCAGTAAATTTTTTTTAGTAATTTAATTGGGATGGTGTTGAATATATAAACTAGCTTAGGTAAAATTGTCATTTTTATTATATAGGTCCTGCTTACCCGAGAACAATTAATATTTCCCCAATGATTTAAATCTGATTTTATTTATGTGAAATTTTAAATGGATTGTTTTGGCAGGTGTACTCTCAAGTATTTTGTACTGTCTAGAGTTATTTTAAATGGGGTATCTCTTACTATGTCTTTGTGCAAGGCTTTGTTTGTGATATATAGGCATGCTGATGATTTATGTGAATTTATTTTATACCCTGCTATTTTGTTAAAATTATTAATGGTTTCAACTAACTTTTTAGTTAAGTCTTTGAGATTTTCCAAGTATATCATCATATCTTTTCTTTACAAGTCTAGAATTAGTTTTTAAAATCATTTAGATTTTTTAAAGATTATTGATTTAACTCCATTTTTTGACTTGTGTCTCAACTGTATTTTTCTTGAAGCTTTGTTTGTAGATGTTTTGAAATCATTATCTTTTTCTCTGTTTCTTTGTTTGAACTCCCTTTTTGCCATAACAGTTCTGTATGATGGGATTCTTTTTTGTTTGTTTTGCTCATTCTTTTGACCTAATTCTTTACTTTATGTTGGTGCTACATTCTGCACACTTCCGGGAGAAATGTCTAACATGAGCTTCTGTCATCTTACATCTATCTGCTGCTGCCTTTACAGCTCTGCCTGGGGGTCTGTAAGGTTTCAGTACTCCCCAAATGGTATGATTCTGAAAGAGGTCTGTTCCCTGTGCCCCTGGTGTGAATTCTGCTTGGTTTTGATTGTTTCGGTAAAGTGCTACTTGATTCAGCCACTATTGGCCATTTGGAAGACTTTGTAGGATTATAGGAAATGACCTGAACTGTGTGCTCTGGAACTGGGACACTGCGAACCGTACTTCTACCATTTGCTTTCCAGAACTTGTTCCTTGCTCAGTACATAGCTTGAGCTAATGATCACACCTGTTCTTGTCAATCCTGGATCTGTGACCTTAGAGTCATCCACAGTTTTTCGCCAAACAATATCGCTGTCACTGCGTATGATATTCTCCTGTTCAGTAGACTTCAGTTTGCGTCATGTAAGTCTTTTTCAGTTTTTCTGAAATCAGCTGTTTTTCATTTCTTACAGCATAATAATATTCCATCACAATCATATACTACAGCTTGTTTAGCAATTTCCCAACTGTTGGACATCACTTCAATTTTTAGCCGCCACAAAAAGAGCTGCAGAGACTTTTGTCTTTGTATCTCCAATGGCCACAATGATACCAGACACATAGTTGGCACTTAACGTATGATAAAAACACCTTACACTTATGTAGTGCTTGAAGGTTTGCAAAAATGCTTTACATGTCATCTCATTTTATTTTCAAAACAACTCTGTAGTGTAGGTGCTATCATTATTTCCATTATAAAGGTTAAGAAAGTGAGATCCAGAGACATTGAATGCTTTTCCCAGAGTTGCATAGCTAATGGGTATCTGAGATGAGATATCACTCAGGTGCCTTCGCTCCATGTCTAGTACTCTCTTTCCTATGGCACATT